TGAAATGGGTGCAGTCTTCCATGCAACATGCAACTTTTACGTGTACAGTATACTACATATATTTTCCAGCAATGCATATGCCAGTTATTACAACAAATATCTTGTAGGTTGCTCATACACATTTTACAAAACAGTAACTTTGATATGAAACAGTTTTAATACCTTGTTAGATTAGGGCACAATATGGTTATAGTTCCATTCACCTACTGAACAATTAGTTCATCAGAGTAATTAATTAATTCAGTGTCAATCTGGATGCAGTGAATTCTACCAGTTCATTGACCTATTTACTGAAAACAGGAGAGAATCAAAGATGACATGAGAAATAGCCAATAAATCTATTTACAGCATGAACACTGGGAAGATGATCATGAAGAAAGAGGTGATTTAATTGGTACATTTGATGGGTGAATGACCAAATTATTCCAGTTAATATCTTAAGGTAAAACAAGCATAAATTTACTTGGTCAGTTTTACATTTGACATGAAGCACTTAAAACCGCACTTGATGCATTCTTTACCAAAATCAGTACAAAGACAGAAGGATTCCCCACACAACTTTATGTAACATAGCAGGAGGCGTAAGGGGTTGAATTCAGTACTAACCTTCATTGTGGTTTGCATTATTTCATTATTATGAAAAGAAACAACAATGACTTTATTTAAAATAGCCTCTATTACACAGAGACGGTTTCCACCATGAATGAGCTCTTCAAAATATAAACAGAAGAGTTTCTGAAGTGTTTTACCTCCCCAACAATGCATGCTGGGAAATATTTTGTTTCTTTACAAACTTCATTTATATACATGTATCTCTATAGTATTGCCAGTCAGTACTGCCCCCCCCACACACACATTAATTTGATTCAGTAATGAAATTTTTTTTCAAAACACAAAAGAATGATTAACGATCAGTAAAAGGTTAATTAAATCCAAATGTATCCCATTTAAACACATCTTAAGCTGCACATCGTTTGACATGAAACTCATGGTTAACTTTGGGAATAAAAAACATAAGCAATCAATTATCATCACACAATCATTAAAATAAAGAAATCAAAAACATAATTTGACAAGTAGCCTTTTGATCAGTACTGGGAGTTAGGATGTCAGGATTAACAAAGTCTCTGGTGATAGATGATTTGTCATCTTAAACAGCAGACATTTATTTATTTGTTAACCCTTGGTTAACAAAATTTTCACATCAAAACACTTTTTTTGTCCATAAAAGAGAGAGCGAGTTTTAAGCCAATTTTTATGGCACTTCCCACATTCCAGTGTGGAATCAGGGACATTCTCATGTCTGAGTTTTCCTGGGAAGGAATCGCATAAGGGAAGCAAAGGTCTTGGCCTTGTTTGAGTTAAATGAAACTTACTGTCTAAGGTCAGAGGTCTGAGTCTAAGAAGTGCATTAGGAGTCATGAAGAGAGGGAGTTTAGGGCCTCTGGAGCCAGGATCAGGTCTTTCTATCTGATAAGGAGAGGGAGTCCAAAGTGCAGTTTGCATGGAGTCTTATTTTTTCTGCTTCTAAATGCCTGGAATCAAAGCTATTGCTTTACGAATATTCCGAGTTCCTCAGATAAAAAATCTCTTCCAACATGTCTGCTTTGGACTTGTGGACACTACACTAACTCACGAGAAAGTACTGGTACAGGGCTTTGTAGCACAAATCTGTTTACTTGAAAAGAATCCTTGCAACAGAGGCTGCTACACCAAACAGACCTCCCAGAAATGAAACTCCAATATTTCCCACTTTGCTCCACATCCTCCTAAACACACTGACTTTAGCCTGCTCTCTGATCTCTTCCTTTGTCATGTTTGGTGATGACTGTCTGATGTTCTCCCCTTCTTGCTGTTTTATTTCCTTCACTCTCTGAAGCATCTCATTGGTGTAGTAGCCTCCGTTGTTTTCCACCATCTTGTCAATTGTGTTGAGTAGCTGAGCCACCTGGAACTTGTTGCTCCTGTATTCGCCCTGTGGTTTGTCCTTCCAGTATTTATTATCAATGACGTGGCACCGATCACCACACTTCTTCACCAGGTCACGCATAAGCTCATTCTGGTAAACAAAATCCTTAATGGTCTTTCCATCAGAGAGCTGGTCTCCATGAGTAAAGACAATTGTCGAATATCTAAATACTTTTTCCCCAAAGTGTTTGCTAATTTTATCGATGACAGCCTTCTCCTGCTCTGTGAATTTCTCCACTTTGAGCACAATGAGAAAAGCATGAGGCCCAGGAGCGCACTCCATGAGACACTTCAATATCGCAGGCTTCATCTCCTCCTCTGATCTATTTGTGTCAAACAAACCAGGAGTGTCGATCAAAGTGATGTTTCTTCCATTGATAGTATTGGTCACTGCTTTGCACTCTCTTGTTCCAGAGTTTGAAGAATCGTAAACCCTGAACACATCCTCTCCAAATGTGGTGTTTGCCAAGCTGCTTTTCCCAGCTCCAGTTTTTCCCAAGATGACAATTCTCATTGGGTTTGACACTAGAAGAGAATATTATCCATCAGTACTGTACATTTATGTTTAGGTTGTTTTCATGTTTAAAAAAATACACACAAGCTCAACAAAGCAAAAATCCTCACTGGTCATAAATCACAATGAAAAGGGAAAGGAGTGAGTACTAATAAAATAGCTGCATTAGTTTATGTGATTAAAGGATCCAAGAGCATATTAATGATCAAGAACAGCTTATGGTGGTTCTCAAACTTTTCTACATCATGAGACTTCAAATGAATCTCTGTCTGGGCACCCTAAGCCTACAAACACCTCATTACAACAGGCATATACAGCACAGTATGTACAAAAGTGCTTCTGTGTTTGACAGCTATTTCTTGAATTTAAGTTTCTTACAACTTAAGATGCAGTGTTCAGTTCTGACAAAAGTAGCTGTTGAAAATTAACTCATCATTCATGTTGTCAAAAGTGAAGGACCTGTGGGGTTGCAGTTAGTCAAAGTGAATTAATTGCCAGGGCGTATGTGAATATGTTTCTCAAGGTTTCACTTTCTGACTCGCTGCACAATGTATGAAATAATGCATTCCAAAAGTCTACTGAGAGTGATCTCATGCCTGTACACACCCCATTTATCTTGTCATGCCTGTTTCACTCTTTATGAGTCATGAGATATGATATCTGGTGCAAAGAAGGAGCAAATCAGCAACTTTAGGGCAAAATTAAAGCAGCACAGATGTGTTTACCTGGTGGAATAGAAATTAATTACAAGTATGCAAGAACAGGCTCAATGATTATATTTTGTAACCATTAAATTCTATAGGGCTTCAGTTAAACTGTCACCACGATTCCATTTCTTGTTTTCTTCTACTTCGTTGTTACACTTTGTTTTGCTAAAGTTTGTTAAACTTTAAAAATAACATTCTAGTAGGAAGCCCGGGATGAAACATACGGCCAGTGAAACCGGCCAATAATATATCCATGGTTTCATTTTACTGAACTTGTGATTATAGATTGTCACTTATCAAGTACATTGCTCATCTAGTTTAGATAGTGTAGCTGTTGGTTTGCAGGAACTGCTGTGACAAAATGTAAAAACCTGTCATCAGTGGTTTTTATATGTTCTTACTTTCCTTAAAGATGTGAAAGTTCAAATTAATTTAGACTGAAATAATAAATCATCTTGAAGTTACACCTGCACTGAACTAATTATGTCCTGTGCTCTCACTTAGTGTCAACTTTCTAAGATGGCTGTCTGTGAAGGGAAATAAGCAGAGAAACTGTTTTCACAAAATGGATGTGCTACAGTTTCAGACAGGACGTGAGGAGGAACAGTCAGTACCGCAAAGGTTTTAGGGTCAGGTTGAACAATGTGAGTCACAGTTTCAAACATATTGCACCGATATTAAATACGATCTAAACAAAAACATCAGCCTTTGTCAGCATGGCTCTGTGATAACTCAAAGTACTTTAAGGTTTTAAACCAGTAAACTGGAAGAAATGTTGCACTGTAAACTGTTTGTTCTCCTGTTTAGATGCAAAATGTGAACTAAGAGAAGAGGAAGTCATACAAAAAACCACTGCAACAAAATTATCCCAGTTTTTCTATATATTTTGATATATATTTGTCTGTGTCAAAATAAACAATTAC